TCCCCCGCCAGACACTCCACTTTCCAACCCTTCTGGCAGCCTAGCCTCTCTGGATACGACCCCTTCCCTTTTGCTCGGCCGAATACGACCTCTTCGTTATTCTTTGCGCAACGGGCGGTTGACCCTGGTGGTAAGCAGCGCCACTTGCCTCTACAGCTTATGGATCTTTTTTGGCTGTTCGATACGTTTAAAAGTGTTTCACTCGTGTATTGACTAATTCAGCGTGACGAATTGTACAGGGTGAGGCATAAATACGTTGACAAAATATTTTGGCACAGTTCGAACCAGAAAGGTTAAAACGGAAATCCAAGTACGGCAACATATGGCATATCCTTTGAAACAATTGTTAACATTTATTATTCTGAGTTACCGTCCATGAACTTTCCGTTTTCCCCCGAACATACCCTGAAGGAGTCGGTCCTTGTCCGCATGATATCCATCGGAACTTCATCTCATACTTGTTGAAGAGCAGTATTAGCGATCTATTCAGACTGTGCTGTTTCGCGTCGTCTTCAGCTTCAATATCAACCACAATAAACGATTCTTTGCACTCAAGTCAGAGGTTTTTGCTAATCAATTTCGTACGGTCTTGAAGGCAAATTCCGGGATATGTATGCCACTAGCCATACACGTAGAATTTCGCCGCATACTGAAGAACCAAGTAAGTCTAGCTGGGCATCACCCTTCGTTTTGGTGCCAAAGAAAGACGGGACGCTCCGATTATGTGTCGACTATAGCAAATCAATCAGGTAACGAGAATTGACAGTTATCCGTTACCGACCATCGACACAATCTTGCAAAACCTGGAAGGGAAAATACATTTTCCTACATTAGAACTGTCCTCAGGCCACTGGCAGATAGCTCTTTCTAAAGATGCAAACAAATTCGGCGTCACTACTCGAGAAGCCTACACCAGTTCAAGGTGCTGCCGTTTGGCATAGCGTCATCGCCGGCAGTTTTCCACCGTTTGGTGCATACCGTTCCGGGTCCTCTTCTGGAAGATGAGGTATTCTGCTACTTGGATATCATGGTAGCAACAAAACGGTAGAGCGACATCTTCTTGTTTATAGGAACAGTCTTACTATAAGTTGAGAAAAGCGCGGTCACAGTTGAATCCAGAGAAATGTATGCTACTGTAGAGAAATGTAGAGTTCCTCGGCCACATTATCGATCAGAAAGGGTTGCACAAGGATCCAGCCAAGGTGGAAGCGACGAAAAAGTATCCGCTGCCACGGTTGCATTTGCATCTTCAAACGTTTCTCGGTATGTGTGGTCACTACTGGAAGTTCGTATTGGGATTCGCAAAGGAGCTGGACCACTACATGAGATTGCGTCCAGGAAAGTGCTTTTCAAATGGGAATCCATGTTTCGATAAATTAAACTCAACCATCGTGTCAGTGCTCGCACAACCAGATATTGAGGCAGCCAGAAATAAGCTAAGGCCATTCAAAATTTATACTGATGCAAGCAATCAGGGTCTGGGAACTGTCCTGAGTCAAGAAGGTGACGATGGATTTCTGCACCCGGTGTTCTTTCCATCGAAAGCTCTCACTCTGAGAAGAATTATTGGGTTGTCTCATAATTCCTGTCTCAATTTCGACACTTTTGTTTATCCAAGTTTTATCTCTTTTTGCAAACAACTGTTCAATAAGGTCATGGTCAACGATATGCGTGCATTTGCTAGTGAGCGTTTGGAAGCTTCAAGCCCGGAATGAAAGAAGCTGGGGGATGAAGAACTTGGAGAAGCCGTTTTTGGGGTGCTCGCAATCTTTAACTTTCCTCTCTTGCAGATGCTGATTCAGGGCGCAGGGGAGGCGAAAGTTTGATAGAGCGCTGCCATTGGTGTGTGGTGGATGAGGTATCGTGGCCCTGGCTATCTTTCCTAAGAACGTGCTGAGTTGGCATTGCAATGTGAGGTCTGGTGTAAATTCAAAGAAAGGAAAATCTGAGACGTTTCTGACGATTCCCTCGCAACCCCGAAGCCTGCCTGGAAGGCTAAACGGAGTTTGTTGCATGTGACTAGAGACTTTGGCTTATGATGGACCCTCTTATGATTTATGTGAGGAGGAGGAAAGCTATGTACAGAGAGGAGAGTTGAACGCCTTCATTGTGTGGCTGCAAGAGAAGGTATATTGTTCTAGTATCTGTTCAGGGCTTATACAGTATGGGCACGCCCCCGTCAGACGTGAGGTCGTGAAGGACTCATCGCGAGCGATACGCAGGCGATGACACTCCGGCGAGGCAGCGAAGTGAACATCACATGAAACAAGGTTTTAGCAACATACAAATAGAATGTATCACAGTCCCGTTGTTGAGCAGCTGATGATGTTGAGTGGTTGAGGTGTTGGGCAACGTGGAGAGTAGGAGGCGTTGCTGATGGCGATAAAGACGAGGTTGACGGTGATGGAGACGAGGTTGAGGGCGATGAAGAGGTCGTTCATGTTGGAGAAGACTTATGGTTAGGGTGATTAGTGGTAAAGCTCAATATTTGATCAAGTGATTGGGATATTCGGGCTGACGCAGCCTTGTGAACCCGGAGTTGAATACGAGCGCAAAATCACCGCCGCCAGGAAATGCATGTCTAGCACGTCGACTTTTGTCAAAGATGCCTTTAGAAGAAACGGTATTTTCATGCTCGAATGGACAAGGGTTGGTGAAATGCGAAGGATGACCGCGTTGTTCAGATTTCTTGGCGTTAAAGGTTTTTGTTGTGGATTTGTTGACGACCTATGATGGGGATCAATATTCTTGCTGATCAACTAGGGCGTGGTCGAGGCAGTTGGCTCGGTCACTTTGCCATAGCCCTATTTTCGGGTAACTGTTTTTGCGTGCATTATCTTGGCCCTTACGACATTCGGGCAGGAACTTTTTTTTATTGCTGTTTATATTATAGGACTTTTTCTCCCTAAGCTTCGTACTTTAGCGCCGTCATACAGTTTTGTATGCGTGCCTTGTACGATGGACCCAAAAATTACTGTTAACCACTAGCACATGTGACATCTACATATTCACCATGTTGGGTTTGGGACCTCTCCTTCCATATACTGTAGGGCCGAAAACGGTCTTCGATATGTGCAGTCCATATGGAATTGTTATTCCATCTGTAGGGTTTCAACGAGCTCGTTGGTAGTGATCTAAAACCACGAAAAAAACAGAAATGAGATGTTCACCTTCGAGCTACGAGTTAGCTTAGCAAATGTCGTTTTTTCTTTGAAAAACATCCGTGTCTGGTGGGGTGGATGACACTTGGAAACTGTTTGTAATTACTGGTTTCGGTTGAGAATTGACGGTTGAGTTCTTTCTCCGAAAGCAGTGCTTATTTTGACGCTGCTTTATGCTCTTCAACTCCAGTATGACCCAGTGCCCGAGACTGCAGGCACATTTCGGTACCTTGGCGTCAAAGACCAAGTCTTTCGGCTAGCGACTGTTGAATAAGGTTTTGTTGCTGTTCAAGTAAGAAAAGCACTTTTTGGTAATTTTCCGTTCTATAATTCCACACACTTTCCTTCGACTGTCATAATTATGAGGTTGTGAATATAGCACGCTTAGTTTCGCCATTCTCTAGCTCTTCATTCTCGGGCAGGGTGAAAATCGTGACGAGTACGTGGTCGCAGAAGTACGACCCCTCCCCGAAATGAGATCTGGTTACGACCCCTTATAACAGAGCAAATTATTCAATTAATTAATCAAATAAATCCTGCAGAACAAATCAAAAAATCCTGCAAATATGTTATGTACGCCTCATTCTTGTCATCTATGCACTGTCTTTCATCGCTGTTACACTTTTGTGTATTTACTGAAATATCGAGTGAGGAAAGAGCATTAACTTTGTGTGACCTCATATTCAGGTTCGTTCAGAAATATGCCACAGAAATCCTGAAGGCACAGGGTTGCGACTACAATCTTGATTCTTCGCTTGAGTATATCGAAACAGTCGGATGTATCAGTCAACGGCCGATTCAATGGCAGTGCGGCGGCCGATTGTCACTGGGTCAGATTATGCTGAAATCCCGAAAAAACCGTGCGAAATCTACACCTCGATGAAAAGGTTGCATTCCTCCATTTCATAACCTTTGAAGCGCTTTGAGGTAGGGTTTAGATCTAGAGTGGACTTCGCGTGTTCAGGACAGTATTGATATTGCTCTGAACCCTTCCATGCAGAAAGATACGGTTCTCTCAATTTCGTCGGAGTAAATGTCGACGGACGCGGAAATTTTCAGCGCGAGTTTTTGTCACTTCAAGAGCATTATCTCTTTATGTGTAAGAGCCTGAAAAAGGAAAGGATAGTTTCGGGAAAGCGGAAAGGTTTGGCGCTTTTTGATATTTTGTTTTTCAGTTTTCCTTCTACATCTTCTGAATTGCAAAGGAGATAACTGCGGTCGGAGTATCTATCGAGCGACGGATCTAGCCAATAAAATGCGCTCCCTCCTTCACTATTGCAGGTTGCATTCGTCTGGCAACACTCGGAATGTCTCTAGAACGAAATTTTCAACGCAATTAAGAAGTTAGCGGCATCGTCATCATCGATGTCGTTATAAGCCATGCATCCGTCCTCTACTCACAGTGCAGAATCGATTTGAAAGGTTTATAGGTGGGGACTTTGGAACGAAATTGTATTGTAGTAGACAGAGTGTGTTGTGCTTATTCCTGTAACCCAATAAAAAAAACAACTCATTCGCCCGGCACGCTTTTTCTTCACGGTTGTGGTGGTTTTGCGGACAGGGAGGTCCTAACAACAGTGTCAGTCTCAGCGAAGTATTATAAGAGAAAGAACGCGAGCAACAAGGCAGAGGAGTTTTCCTTTGAGCTAGACGACCCTGGCGATGCGCAACAATGTGAGGCCAGTCACTCTTTGCGGGATGCACTTCTTCCTTTGTACTGCTTCAAATACGCCCTTGTCATGAGGGAGAGAAATGGAGCGAACTGAACTCGCGAACGAAAAAATTTATAATCATGGTTTTTTCAGATGTTTTCATTATCTCTCGCTTGCGCTATAACCCCCACTATCTGCACACGATACACTGCTGGTACCTGACCCCCAGAGTACGGACCCCGATGGACCAGCAACAGGATCGACCCCCTGTCGAGGATTGTCTCGACCGATATTTACCCTGGTTACGACCCCGTATAACAGAGCAAATTAATTCAATTAATTAATCAAAAAATCCTGCAGAACAAATCAAAAAAAATCCTGCAAATAATGTTATGTACGCCTCATTCTTGTCATCTATGCACTGTCTTTCATCGCTGTACACTTTTGTGTATTTACTGAAATATCGAGTTGAGGAAAGAGCATTTAACTTTGTGTGACCTCATATTCAGTTCGTTCAGAAATGCCACAGAAATCCTGAAGGCACAGGGTTGCGATTACAATCTTGATTCTTGTTGAGTATATCGAAACAGTCGGATTTGTATCAGTCAACGGCCGACTCAATGGCAGCTGCGGCGCGATTGTCAACTGGGTCAGATTTGCTGAAATCCGAAAACAACCCGAAATCTCACCTCGATGAAAGGTGCATTCCTCCATTTCATAACCTTTTGAAGCGCTTTGAGGTAGGGCTTAGATTAGAGCTGGACTTCGCGTTTCAGGAAGTATTGATATTGCTCTGAAGCCCTTCCATGCAGAAAGATACGGTCTCTCAATTTCGTCGAGTAAATGTCGAGGACGCGGAAATTTTCACGCGAGTTTTTGTCACTTCAAGAGCAATATCTCTCTTATGTGTAAGATCCTTGAAAAGGAATGATAGTTTGGAAAGCGGAAAGGTTTGCGCTTTCTGATATTTTGTTTTAGTTTTTCTTCTACATCTTCTGATTTGAAGAGATAACTGCGTCGGGAGTATCTATCGAGGACGGATCTAGCCAATAAAATGCGTCCCTCCTGTCACTATTGCAAGTGTGAATTCGTTCGGCACACTCGGAATGTCTCTAGAACGAAATCTTCAACGCAATAAAAGTATAGGCGGCAATCGTCATTCATCGATGTCGTTATAGCCATGGCATCCGTCTCTACTCACAGTGCAGAATCGATTTGAAAGGTGTTATATGGTGGGGACCTTTGAACGAAATTGTATTGTAGTAGACATAGTGTGTTGTGCTTATTCCTGTAACCCAAAAAAAAACAACTTCATTCGCCCGGCGCTTTTTCTTCACGGTTGTGGTTTTTGCGGACAGGGGTCCCTAACAACAGTGTCATGCTCGCGGAGTATTTAAGGGAGAAGAACGCGAGCAACAGGCAGAGGAGTTTTCCTTTGCTTATGACGACGCGTGCGCACATGTGAGGCAGTCTTCTTTGCGGGATGCACTTTCATTCTTTGTACTGCTTCAAAATACGCCCTTCTCATGAAGGTGGAGAAATGGAGCGACTGAACTGCGAAAGAAAAAATTTTATAATCATGTTTTGTTTCAGATGTTTTCATTTTCTGCTGCGCCTTATGCGCTATAACCCTATCTGCACACGATACCACTGCTGTTACTGACCCCCAGAGTACGGACCCCATGGACCAGCAACAGGACGCGACCCCCTGTCGAGGATTTCCTCGACGATATTTACCCAACCCACGAAAAAACAGAAATGAGATGTTCACCTCCGAGCTACGAGTTAGCTTAGCAAATGTCGTTTTCTTTTAAAAACATCGTGTCTGGTGGGGTGAGATTGACACTTGGAAAACTGTTTGTAATTACTGGTTTCGTTTGAAAATTGAACTTGAGTTCTTCTCCGAAAGCAGTGCTTATTTTGACGCCTACTGTATGCCTTTCAAACTTCTCAGTATGACCGCCAATGCCCGAGACTGAGCAATTTTAGGGACCTTGGCGTCGAAGACCAAGTCTTTCGGCTAGCGACTTTTGAAAAACGGTTTTTTGTGCTCCAGTGTCAAGTAAGAAAAACACTTTTTGGTAATTTTCCGTTCTATAATTCCACACACTTCCATCGACTGTCATCATTATGAGTTGTGATATAGCACGCTTAGTTTCACCATTCTCTAGCACTTCATTCTCGGGACAATTCGGAACGTTGGTTTTAACACTACGACTATTACGAGTTGTATTATTACTTCGATGAAGCTTCCTGGAGGTGCTCGGAGTTATTGAGAAGGACGTTTGTTGTGATTGATTCCACAATGGTCCCTTTCGATTCCCTTCATTCTGAGTACTATTTACTTTATAGCAGAGGCTTTTATGGTGTTTTTGCCCGCACTGACTGCAATTCGGTTGGTGGCAGTCGTATCTGTTTTGGTCAAATGAACAGCATTCCCAGCAGCTGTTCTCCTTCCTCAATAATTTACGGTGACTGTTCTGGTCAGTGGCAAAATGCGCACTCTTCGCCATAAGGAGGTCGTAAAATGTATCTTTGTCGCAGCAGGGTGCCCCTGTTTTCGATAGCATGGCTAGATCTGTTTTCGATTGTGTGGCCAAGTCTGTTCTCGATGTACAACTCAGCGGCAATCTCTTTCTTGTGATGACCCATTAATTCTTCTGTTGCTCATGTTGCGATTGTCCTGATATCAAGACCGGCTTAATTGCGTCTTGAGGATATTTGGCAAGAGTTGTCTCGCACCATATAGGACCACATGTTTTCGCACATCGTATCCTGCGGATATCATTTGATTAACTAGGACCTGTATTTGGTCGAGGACATCCGAGCAACTGTCTGCGGAATTAGTAGCTGGTTCCATACTCACCAGTTTTTGAATTATTTTTGACCGATTTGCAGTCTGATTATAGTAGCTATCCTTCAGTGTTTGAATTACCCACTTGTATCTAAATGTTGAACAACAATTCGAGGCTTAAAAAAGTGTGGTGTCCCCAGTGGTGTGACTCCTGTCTGTTCCGTGCTCGCCTACTCGTGTGCCACGCGGGTTCTGAATTGGACGGTGCCAGACAAAAGTACCACTAATATTTATTATATACAAATCGAGATAGTAGACACCAGAAATCTTCCACGTACTCGTCCTTTATTGCGGCGATGCAGGAGGGACGAGTCCGATATTGCGGCAATCACAGAGCAGGGGTCCGATACTGAGACGAGAGACGATGATGAGAAGGGATTCGATATTGTGCAGAGGGCTCCTTAACTTGAGCGATAGGCGTGCCAGCGGGGGGAAAAACCCGATTCTCCCTCAGTCGCGGTCCTTTTATACGGTAGCGGACGTCGGCAGCGTAGGCTGCGAATGTAACCATATCCCTGCAAACATTCAAGATCAGCCTTCAGATAAAGAAATGGAGAAAGTAATATTGACTAACTGTGAGAAATAGAAGCTAGATCAAATATTTAAACCTCTAGCCATTTTAGTGGCGCTAGCTACACTCCCGGGCGCCCTGTGGTTGCTAGTGACGGGATAAGTGCTCGAGCTTCTTTAGATCAGCACGGACTTCTCGCATTGCCTCTTTAACACGGTCCCTGGAGTCAGGTATTGGGCAGATGGCACAATGGTGTTTTTTCTTCGGAATAAGGAACTCCAGTATGGTGTGCTTCACTCGCGGGCAATACTAACACTCCTTTTCGGCATCTGAGCACTTGTCTCCCATCCCACACTTTTCCAGACAGTATCGACATATGTATATGCTCCCTGTTTATGAGGCGAGATCGTTGTGTGCTGTCGACGAACTCCGGACAAGATCCGAAAAGTGAGATCCAACGTCTTTGCAAAATGAGCAGGGCACTCCATTAATTCCTTGAGACGTTCCGCCCAGTTTTCTATAAGGTAACTAAGGAAGTCCCTGTTGGAGTTGGTGAATATCTCGCTCAAGAACGTCGCACATGCACTGAGCTGAAACGATGGATTTGGGAATCTTGCGTTCTGGACAATCTTGGCGGCCCTTTCCGGAGCTTCCCCTGATCAAATTGGCCATGTATTCATCGCCCGATAGAATCTGTACCTTACTGCTATCCGCTTGCTCTTCACTATGCTTACGTTTCGCTTGCTGAACCGCAGCAGCAACACCGGCCTCAGCGCTCATGGCAATCTTCGCTAGATGCTCTTCCATGCACTGCAACGTTGCGTTAACATCTCCGTTATTGTTGAAATTGTTGAAGGTCAGTCCTTTCAACACGATCTTTTCTTTATGGATGAGCTCAGCGGCATGTTCCACTTCTTGCTCGAGACATTTGATGTTACGCTTCAGCATTTTCAGATATTTTTCAGCCACCGGCAGTAGGTCCTTGACACTAGTGTTATGCGTGGATCTCCGTCTTTCTTCCCATTCTGCACGTCGTGTTCTCTGGACTTGACCACTATTCGTAAGAATGATATAGATGGAATCGAGCAGGAGGAACCTCTGGATCACACTCTGAAGATTGCCCTTGGTCACGTAAGCTGTATTGAGCAGGCGATGTGCCATCATCACGATCTCTCCTCCCGTTTCCTCAGCGCACGTATGCTGCAGAATGTGGTGCGTGAGACAGTGTCCAGAGTTTTACATATTTTGATTTGCGCGTGTATTTCATCCAATACAGCAGACATATCCTTCTCCAACTCTTTCTCCGTTATTGAGTCATTGTGAAGCCCGGCTAGAAAACGGAAATCCTTTGCGAATGCGCCTTCTTCCGCCATCAGATGTCGTAATGCATCGGAACCCGTCGTACCCAGAATGAAATTATCGACCTGAGTGAAAGAAAAAAAAACTATTATCATCTACCCCTATTTATATTTCGGTATTGATCAATGCTGCTTACTATGCTTTTTACTAACAGTAGCATAATGTCCTACGTGGACTAACATTCTTACTATCGCCATGATCAATCTGGGTCCCATCAATAGTCCAAATTGCAATTTTTATTCCCCAGGTTGAAAGCACTAGGTACGTAGTTCCAATTAGAATAATTAGTCCAAGTATTGTAGCAGTGAGGGTCTTATTCCAATGGGAAAATACCGTAAATATGTGAAAGAGGTCTGGCCACGCATCAAGGGAAGCGGATGTTGAGTGGCTCGGCAGCCGTCGCTCTACTACTCCTGTGACCGAGCCTGTGAACTTGAGAATGCCCTCTACTACAAAGCTTGATGTAAGCTTCCCGCACGAAATTGAGCACTCAAAACAGATCGCGGCTTCGGAAAAACTGAGTCTCAGCACTGAGGTGCTTCCCGTGGTATTGCGTGGTATGGAAAATCCGACATTGCCACAAACCACTTCCGCTCGGAGGTTGTCGCGTGATGAAAAACACTGCACCTGCGCGAGTGCTCCTTTTGCACATTTATAGCATCCCGTCAGCGTGGTTTCCCTGATTTCACATACTGTTTCGTCTACTAGTTCTGTGGACTCACACTGGCCTCGAAAGTCCATTACGATCTCAGAAGTGGCCATATTGGATATCCTTGCCAAAACCGATTTTCCTTGTCGTCTGAAGGAAAATGATGTGAAGGTGGCTGGGAGTTGGTTCTTGATGTTACCGAACCACTGCCCTATAGAAAAATTTCGGCACTCACAGTTAGCTCTCGTTTCTGCTGGTCTACATTTACAGTTGTCTACTACCGGACATGAGAGAATTTTCGCGTGATCGTACGTTTGGCACTACAAAACTGGTTTCGCGCCTGGCTCCCACATTGCTATTTGCTGGTCATCTTTGATGAATGGGGTATTGAGTAGCAAAAGTGAAGGCAGTGAAAGTGAGGTAAGCGCGAAACGTAGAGAGTTGTATTCCTTGGGAATATTGGGTACCAATCCTGTAGTGAGTATGGGAGTGGTCTTCTTATTCCCGTCGAAATGAGAGATCCGGATCTTGGCTTGTTCTTTCCATCTTGTACAATGGAAAATTTCGTAGACGATCTCGTTGACTGGCTCAAAATATATGCGGTAAAACAAACATCCCGAACTCAATGGTAAATATCCGCATCCTAAGCCTCCGCACGATTCAACGCAAGCCGTTTTCCCTAGGAAGCGGTTTTCAAGTTCTGGTACGAGACTTGGAGAGTTGATAGTAGCGCACTTTCCATTCTTGCATGATCCTTTATGTGCGCAACGTTTGCTGCTTACAATTCGATATGCCGTCTCTCTTCTAAAGAAGTCCGTTACTGGATCGCAGAGGAGGTCTAGTGACTTCCACGTAAGTCGAATCTCATGCACCGGCGTGTTATTGTGCGTCAATCGCACACATGCTTCTTGTTTGAATGCGTTGATTTGAAGACTTCTGACAGGTGCACCTGACACGGTCCTGAAGGTGTAGTGCAGGTGGTTGAAATGTGATCAAAAACATTGACCAATTGACATCCATGCGCAACTTGCGAGACAACTCCTAGTATTGCTAAAATCTCAACCAGACGCCTCCGTCTATTCACTCTACCGATATTGTCCATCCGAAATATGCGCTTGATAATTCGTATGAGGCTACGGAAAGCCATCCAAGCCACAGCTGCCATCACACGTAATAGTCGTCCTACCACCAGTGGCACGTATAGGAAAACATAGCAGCCGGTAACTACGAAGTATATTACGATCGCCATAGCAAGCATTGCACTGACTGGCCAACATTCTGGATTAAGGATGTTGGCACTACAGAATGTACACTTAACCAAAATGGAGCTGCCGGGCATTTTGTCTCGATCGCTCCAACCTTCTTGAATTGGGCAAACTTCCATTGGACTGTGTGTTCGTGTAACACGACGTCGGGTGGGAAAGTGATCCGTTCCACCGCATTCGGAGTGTCAAAGGAAACGCAGAATTGGTCACTGCAAATCTTATAAGGAATCTTCTCTTCCGATTGTACTATCACTCCTCCTTCGAAACATTCAATGATCCGTGTCGAAGCGGATGTAGTGGAGTTATCCTTGGTTCGTAATACTACAGTTGCGCACCAGAGAAGAAGCAGCGCCATGCACTGTAGCAACGAGATGCACTGTAGCAACGAGCAGAGAGATAGAGGAAATTTTCCTGATACAGCTCGATCCTCGTAGTTGGCGCTATTTCGCGGACGTAGATCATACCGTGAAGGTGATACATGTGGTTCGTTATCCAGTATTGTTGAATCGTCCTGTGATGAACACCCTGTATCGTTCCTGGTTTCCGTACCCTGGTCGTGTGTTGCATCGTCGAGCTCCAGAGGAACGAGGAGGTTGATCGGTCGTCGGATCAGT